ACTGGAGTCCTGGAGGCATTTACGGCAATTAAGTGCTGCCATAGCCGTTGGGTTTGGCTTCCCCATCTGCTTTCAAGCGGCAAGATGATGAATGATGCTACACGCTGACACAGGCACACTCTCTCTCTCTCTCTCTCTTTTTGTTTCTCTGTCTCTTTCTTTCTCTTATCTCTGGCGCATACATTCCGAGTCTGTTTCGCCTTCAACTTCCGTTTTAAATCACTGCTCTGCTTTATAACAGCACCACACATTCCTTCACACACACACACACACAGTAGCCTTGATTTGTCTGAATTTTAATTGTGCTGACTTTGATTACGCATTATCCAGAGACGAGCAGGTGTCGTGGGTCAGCCGGGTCTGCCACCCACATACAGTCACCCGCGCTTTAATCAGAATTGTACGTCTTCTTATCGCGCACAGGCTCCATATGTTTTTGCTGTTGTGGTTGTTGTCAATGCCCTATGCCTCTCGCAGTCAAATGTTCAGTTCGGTTCCATTGTTTATTTGTGTATGTGTATGTGTGTATGCATACATAAATCTATTTATTTTGCTTTGCTCACCGCGTCGGCACAATTAAATTTTGTTACGAGCTGTAAAATTTCTTCATTTGATGAATTGCGATGACCAAGAAAGAAAACAAATGTTGATAAAATTGGCATAAATCTTGTTTCCTCTTTCATATGCATAATATATTTATTAATATAAAATTTCGCAAATTTTTTTATATATACAAAATTCATTTAAATCTATTTTTGGAACATTTTAAAATGCAATGAACAAAGTAATGTTCGAGTTTGTCAGGGGTATGCGCCACTGAACTCTAGCTTAAGTATTTATTGGCTATGCAGAAGACCTATTTCTTATGAGAACTAGAGAACAGTTGCTGTACAAGATCCATTTAGCCTCAGTAGTCTGATTCTCCATCTGTTTCCCTTAGCAAAAGCAAGGGACGATGAAGAGCTACATAAGATCATTTAAGTTGTCTATGTGTATGCAGCACGAAGCTAGAGTTCAGCTGAGAGCAGCAGAGAGTGTTCCCATTGGTCAGTTAAAGTTCGGCTGCAACGAGGCCTACCTGCAGTCGGCCTCAACTTTTGAGCGTGACGTATTCTTTGAGTGAAAGTCGCCCTATATAAAGGGCAGCGGCTGCAGCGTTTCTTCAGTTGCCCAGGCCTGGTGGGGGTAAGTCGTTCAGTGCAGTGAAGTGAAGTGAAGTCGAAATAATCAGAGGAAATACCTTGAAAAAATACTTAGAGGAAATACCTTGAAAAATACTTAGAGGAAATACTTAGAAGACATACTTATGAGAAAAAAATGCTCCAATTATTGTGCTAATCAAGAAACATAAGATTAACCATTTGTCAAAAAATAAATAAAA